CTGTCTCTGTGTGTGTGTGTGTGTGTGTGTGTGTGAGTGTGTGTGTGTGTGTGTGTGTGAGTGAGTGTGTGTGTGTATGTGTGTGTGTGTGAGTACCTGTTGAGTGTGTGAGTGTGTGTGTGTGCGTGTGTGTGTGTGTGTGTGTGTCAGTGCGTGTGTGTGGTTGGGGGAAAGAGCTGCTGCTGTATTTAGTCACAAATCCTGAGGCCATAACTGTGATTCAAATGGCAGCCAGTCAAAGTGTCAGAAATAGTCAAAGAGGAACATACTGAGTATTAAGCTGCCTAAAAACTATGTTTGGTGTATTACTAATGCATCCTGTGTGTTAAATGCAAAACGTGCTTCAATGCATGAAATGCAAACTATATTGCACCTCAGAAGAAGCTGACATACTCAAACAGAGGCATCCCATCACCAGTGCCACCAAAGACTGACAGCCAGATAACACATGGGAGCCAGGAATCAGGTCAGCATCGAGATCAGAAAACCTAATAAAAGTGTGAGGTGAGGTCCACACAAATATACGCACCTCCAGACAAAGCTCGGGAAGAAACAACACCCCTAGCAGAGTGTGCAGGAATGCCCAGAGGCCAAGATAACTCACACGCCGCATAAGCCAAATACAACATCCTTTGCTTAGTAGCAGCAACATTACAACAGCCACCAAAACATGCTAATAACTGATCCAGTGTTCATTTCACTGATGAATCATTTTCATCATAAATTTCATCAACAGCATTTTTTCACTGAGGAAAATGAGACGAGAACAAAATAAAAATCAGTTCTGAATGAAAAAAACTATGACAAAATAAAAGCGAGATGAAACTAACAAAAAGTGAGATGAAAATGTTACGGAGGGACGAGTTGGTAAAACATCTGATCAGAACCAATCTCTTGCCTGGTAGGGAGGGTAGATGTGCACATCTGAGCTGGAACTTACTGATCTACTTGATGAGACACAAGTTTGCATACACTTGCTGCACGTCTCATTAAACATTCGAAAATGTCAGCGTTTGGGAGTAAGAGAAGAGCAGACATATCATATGTATTAGGGATGTTACAATATTATCAATATCGTGATATCGTAATAGCAAAACTGTCTCAATATTATCGTGGTCACATGACGATATGAAACAACAGGTCTTCCGGGCAAAAAGCATAGTTTTTAAAATATATGTAAGCTTCTTATTCTAACATGAAAGGTCTTTAAAGTTGTGTTTTTGGTCATTATGCTTTGGCGCAGTATCTGTCAAACGAACTCAAACCGAAAGCATAATATATGGCTTAATCCCTTGCTTCATTAAGTCTGGTTTCGCTGCGTGTTTCAAAGCGAAGCACACACTTCGTTCATGCGATCAGCTCGTGATCCGGTGTTTTCCGCGTCTCAGAACGGCTCTGTTCACACTGAATGAATGCAGTCAACTCGTTTATTACACTGCTGTGAGCTTAGCGCACGTTTGGGAACGCAACAGATACCAGTTAGATTTTATTTCCGCAGCAGATGATTACAGCATTTCACTAGACTTGTAGTGAGAGGCTTTTTTGTAACCATGTTTTCAATGAAGTTTCTGTCAAAATAAAAGCTTAAAAGTGCAGATTGAATTGCTGACAGCTAGCGGGTTAAATGCAGTCCAAATTCAAAATATCTCTTTCAAGTGAAGAAAATAGGAAAGACGTATTGTAAGCAAAAATAATATACCTATGAAATATTAATTTTCTTTTATTTTACAGTGCAATTGTTTTACAATATATGGCTACTATTGGCATTGTTGTTATTATTATTATATTCTAATTTGTCTGGCTTCCTAAAACACCAGTGTGAATGTAATTTCGACTGAGACAGTATATCACAAATAAAAAGAGGGTTGAGTCCCCGTTAAAGTTCAGGACTTTTTTCTGACTCAAGTTTTCTTAGTTAAGATCACAGGTTGGAGCTCTTAATTTTGAACTCTCCAAGTCCATTAGACAGAACAATTTAACTGTAAAATGTACAAAATTGTTATTTTTTCCCCCAGTTAGAGTTAGGGTTTAAATATCGCAATAAATATCATAGCCTAGACTTCATATCGCAATATTATCGTATTGTGATATTTTGATATTGTTACATCACTAATATGGATACATTTGAAAGAGTGTGACGACGCAAAAGAGAACTCAATTCAGTCCAGTTTTGTGAGCACACACACAGAAAGCGCCTCTCAGACAGCACACGAGGAATGAATTAACTTCTCTCTTGTGACTTTTCGCACTTGAACTGACAAATACACACAACAAAAGCTACCAAATTGTCTGTTTTGGCGAGTATTCACATAAAAACACTCGGTTATGTCTTAAATGAATGTAAACAGTTGAGAGAATATTGGATGCGTATCGGTTTATTGGATCCGTGCATTTGGTTTTAAAGCGACAGCAGCCTAATTTAGTTGCTGTTGTCTTTGTCATTAATGTAAATCAAACACCCCAAAACAAAGAGAAATCTGCTCTAGACTGAACCGCTTTATGGAGTAATCTAAGTTTAATCTCTATAAAAAATATATCTGCTTGAAAGAATGAAGAATGTTGTATGCAGGTTGTTATAAAGAATTCACATATAACCATTAGTCTTTCCTTGAAAAGAAGACCACGTTCTTTCTTTATGAGAAGTGGTTTTATTTCATTTTAAGATAAATTAAGGCATGTTATGTATCACAGCAGTCTAATCTACATCTACATTGCATGTTCAAACCTTAGTATCATTCATATCATTCAGCTTTATGCATTCTTTTTAATTATTATTATTATTTATTAACTTGAATGAGGGTACGTTTCATGGGAAAAAGCAACATTTTGAACAAAAAGCTAAGAAAATCATGTTTTTTGTCAAAGACTATGTCTGGATGAGATTCCGAATTATGTTCAAAACACAGATGGATTCGATGGCTTCCATCGACACCCACAAAAAAGCTTCACAGTCCTAAACTACTTCCTGGATCAACATTTCATTCGGTAACGTTTGGCAGTTTTGATTTATATGCTGTTTAATATTTGATATTCACATTATTTTGTAAAATTCAAAACACTGGTAAAACACCTGTACAAAATAAAATTCCTTCAAATTATACGGTACATCGTGCCCTATTTTTACAGAATTTTGATCCAGACGTTCAGTACTCTTTCAGAAGATTAATAATAGCGCATATTACTTGGTCCGGAAACCAAACTTGGGATGACTAATGGCTCACTTATGATAAACTCTCCTCTCTCTAAACTAAGATGTGGGGGGAAAATATTTCAACATCCAAAAAATTATTAATCAAAGAATTAGCCGTTAACGTGGTTTCTGAATTCAAAGCGTCCTCGGGTAACAGTTGGACAGCTGAAAACCCCCTGCGGTTTTGTAGCTCTTATTATACAAGGGTGCTGTCCTGTGTTGCAGCATATCTGAAGGTTTTTATCCAGACCCAGCAGAGGCTCTATAACAGCTTAATGCATTTGAAGAGAGACCATCAAGAGGATGCCAGCACTGAGTGCCTGTTTCTAAAGTTTTCCTACAATGGTAAACATGGATGAAAGCTTTCTATACCCTCTCATCCGACTGGAAATACATAAAAAGCAACATACAGACTTTTTGCACTCCAGATATGACATTACAGCGCAATTGCTATTACCGCTGTTTTGTTTCAGAGTGATTTAAACATAGGCCTGGAAATGAAGCTAAGATGGCATGAGCCCATTAAAAAGGGTGAAGTGTGACATTTCTGCTTTACTAGTGTCACCAAAATGAAACTATTTTCGACATGTTTTGAACAGTTGCCACATATGCTATTGTCAGCCCTTCCCAAACTCACGCTGTGTGTTGAGTGTTGCTGATCGATAAAGCAGATCAATTTTATGAAAGCACCACAGACTCACAGTGTTACACTTTTCAAAGGAATCAACACACAAATGTTTTATTTCTAGTTGTTTGGCATATTAAATTGGCAAAGAAGTGAGTATTATAAATGAAAAATGATCCTGATCTGATTTGATCCTTGGACTGTTACCTTGTTTTTGATTGACTGCTGCCTGCCCTGACCATTGTCTGTCTTGTTGGATTACTCTTTTGCCTGTACCTGGGATGTTACTGTTTGCTGGTGTCTGACCCTGCCTGTCCTGACTACGCTTTTTTTAATAAAGCCTGCTATTGGATCCCCACTTCGTTGTCACGACGCCTCTATCATTACACATTGCAATTATCATTAATATTATTATTATTAGTATGTAAATTGAATTATACCAAAGTAAATAATTTAAAAAGGAATACTACTAAACTGTATAATAATAGTAATAACAATGCAATTAAAATACCAATATTATGGTTGTTTTTTTTTCTTATTAGATTTATAAACCAACTTCTCAAACTAGGGAACGTGTTTGGCGCATGTTCCATTTTCAAATGCATGTTATATGACGATTAGGATTAGGATAGGCAGTCATTGTGAGAATTCATAAAAAATCTACTGGCCAACTAAGTAACACCGTTTCATACTCGCATTTTTTACTCGCACTTGATGAGAGTTAATTTTAGACCCTGGGCTCTTTCATTCTGCTACATAAAAAACGCTGCAACAATTGAGTGCATGCATGAAATGTCCAGCAGTGCACACACTGTTTTTTTTTTCAGTTATTTAAATGCACCACCTGGGTATTTGGAGTGCACTTCTTCTTGTTGAAATTCCAGTGTGAACACACTATTTATACTACAAAATGGCCCAGGAAAGTGTCCAGCTGTTAAGTTCATGCAGAACTGCAGCGGCAGTGAATCCTGCTCTAGCACACTATGTGGATGGAAGCGCAGCAGGGTTCACAGCAGCAGATGTGTGAAGCTGAGGCACTCACCCCTCTGAGTGCTGGAGTATAGAGACCATCAGCTCCACGGCCAGGGCTCCGGCGATCATGGCCAGACCAGGACGGCTCACAGTGCACTGCTGGTCCAGAGTTCTGTCTCTGGTGGACTACAAACAAAACAAGACTTCACTAACAGCTTCGAGTAAAGACAAATCACCGAAAGCAAACATATTAATTTCTCAGTCTGTAAAAATGTTTCATTTCGGTGATGGATCAACTCAGTAGGAGACTGTGCTCAATCATATTTTGCTGTAGGATATGATTTCCAGCACAAGGCGTCCATTGAGGTCACTTTAGCATATGACTGATTGGTTTCCGCTACACATTTGATTTTCTAATATAAGACGTGTCTTGAGGAAAACCTAATTTCAGCAATGAAAGTGCTTGATTAAAACTCACGTCTCCAGGGGCGACCACATCGTTACAGAAGTAGCAGCCGAGACGATGTCCAGGTATGTTGGAGAACAGAGACGCTCCTGAGAATGAACCGAAGGCATGCTTATAACAGAGTAACAACAAGAAAGCATCGCAATACAGCATCTGCTGAGAGATTTCCCACACCTTTTAATCAATGAATGAACCTTGACCGATAAATACTGTGAAACCTTTTGAATTAAAAGAGTTGGATGTATTTAAATTGATCATATGTATTAGATATTAGTTTACAAGAGCAAAATAAATGTGGGTAACTTTTGGAAGATGGCTGATATATATTTACAGATATATTCAGTTAGTTTACCTATTTGAACTTTTGCCATCACATCACATTTTTGCAGATCAGATAATTATGTTTTATTTACGGAAGAACTTAATTCAGTTACACCCATTGAAGCGGTAAACTCTTTCCTGAGGTCATTTCTGTCACATTCCTATTTATTCTCCTGGTGTCTGTCATCCTGTGCTGATCCGTCATTTCTCATTGCGTGTGTTTTGTGTCTGCATGTGTGCAGCTTTAGGCCTGCCTGTCTGTTTTTCCCCTTCGGGGTGGTTTTAGTTTGTTTTTGTTTCATTTTTATTATTAAAATAAATAACCATTTCTCCTGCAATTGAGTCCTCGCTTCATCTCCCCGCACGCACCGTGACAATTTCCACATTACTGGACTGGATTCATTACATGCCTACATTACAAGACAGACACAATGAAAGAAAAGTCACTTTTATCATAGAGATGGTTACATTTGTACAAATAAGAAATAAAACACTTTTTACCAATTGTGACTGAACATTAAACTGTACCTAAAAATAATTTAAAAGTTCAGATGCCTTTTATCTTTTATATTTTTTTTCATTTTACACAGATCAGTATTTTCGATTTACTTCTACAAAATGATTTAGAAAAACATGGATACAATTCTTGGTATCAAACAAGACATCTAACAGCTAAGAAGCATGCAACATACTCAACATTTTACAGATTTTCATTAGGAATTACATATATTTAATAAAAGCTGACTGTACACTCTATCCTTCTTATTTTGCAATGTGGAAGTAAGCTGCTTTTTCTGATTCATTAGCTACTCCACGTAAATAAGTAGAAGCATATCCAAATGCAGTGCATGGCAAAACTATTTATAAACCAATAATTTGATTGCAATAATAAAATAAAATATTTTTGTGATAACAAATACAAGCTGCAATATCAAGCACCGTTTTTGGTTACAAAAAGGCTGTTGTTAAAAATAAGGTGGATATAATGCAATAATTATATCTAATTTATTATTTATAAAAATGGCTGTAAAAATGAATATGTAAATAGTTATGCTATAAAAGCATAAAAAAGAGCAAGAAATCATGACCCACAAGTAATTAGGAATTTTGCATCAGAGCTATAGATATGATCAGACCAATTCAAGCTTGAAGTAGCACCTTCATGGTTTTTCATGAGTCACACCTGCTCCAGCAGGCACTACACACAGCAGCAGCGCAGAATGAGTCACCAGCTCAACGGAGTCAGAAGAATAGAACAAAGCAGGAGTCTTGACTTTTAAAAATGTAACTTAACACAGTCTTAAGAACACGGCGCTCGTGGTGCGAGACGCTGAAAGCATAAGTTGGCCAAATATGTCCAAAATGTTCAAAATATGGCAGGTGGAATACAAGAACCTGCTTTGTGTGAATGTCCCCTAATGCTCTATTGTACCTCAGACAGACTGACCGAAACCTCAATGCAGCAAGAATTGGAAGTACACCTTTGTGTCCTGTAGTAAAAGGCCACTAGCTAGTTGCCTTTGCACTCAGGGAGTCATAGGTGGACAGTCTTAACAAACAGACTCTGGTACTTCAGAGCAAAGCTCTAAAAAAAGACTAGAGAACTAGAAATAATAATAACAAAAAAGAACTCTTATATTCACTACAGATAATGTAGATTTTTAAGACATTTTTAAGCATGGTGATCCAAATTTTGTAATTCAAAACAGGTAAAAAAACATCACACGTAATCTACACAATTTGATTCCATCAATTAACATCTTGTGAGGCCAAAAGCAGTGTTTTGTAAGAAACAAATCCATCATTAAGGCATTTTTAACTAAAAGCCGAGTCCATAATAACACTTCCTCCAGTGAAAAAGTGGTCTGGTCTGAATCAGGAGAGAAATCTGCACAGATCAAGCAGCCTAAACAGTCCAGAACAGCTTTAAACAAATATGTGGCTGGATAACAAACATGCAAGTGTTATTAGAAGCAACGGTTTGAAGTTAAACACGTCTTAATGCTGGATTAGTTTCAGCTTTTGTCTTCTCCAGATGTTAACTGATGGACTGGAGTGTCGTGGATTACTTGTGGATTATTGTGATGTTTTTATCAGCTGGACTCTCATTCTGACGGCACCCATTCACTGCAGAGCATCCATTGCTGAGACACTGATGCAACGCTACATTTCTCCAAACCTGATGAAGAAACTCATCTACAATTTGGATGGCTTAAGGGTGAGCACATTTTCAGCTAGTGTTCATTTTTGGGTGAACTATTCCTTTAACCGTGATGATTTGACATTTTGCATTTGAGGTTTACTGTAGACCTCTGTTCTGTGTTTACACATCGCTCTTACAACACACTTTAACTAAACAACAACACAAGCTGTGGAAAACACACACGTTTCAGCTGTACCTGGTGTGATGGTGGCTGCTGGTGTGGAGGAAGACGAGGAGTTGGAGGAAGCAGACATGGGGCTGGACTCTTCAGACTGAGACTCTTTGGGTTTCTTAAGGCCGTGTCTCATTACCACAAACGTGTCAAATCCTAGAGCAGCGTTAACTATCAACTGCAGAGAGACAGACATATTTAACTCTCTAAAAAGGTTCACAGTCTCGATATCACTGAAGTAAACCAAAAGCTTTTACGCAAAACAATTCCAAAACGTTGTTTATTTCCAAGTTCAAACTGGATTTTAGTTTGAATTTGCTGTCAGACTTTGGGGCCTAGCAGCTGTACTATTATTACTACTAACAGCTATTTTATAATTCAATGACATATTGCTTCCACTGTTCTATTCAACTGTAGGTGATTGACAACATATCCAATAGATGGTCTATATTTTTTAATCAAGTGAAATCTCTACCTCATGACAGGTTTAATTTTTTTATTAAAGAAAATTAAACATCTATCAGAATGGTTATATTTAGCATTGAAGCATACATAGTCAAAATTCCTTTGCAATTTTTGTCCGCAATTGGTAGTTTTGTTGGACTGCATTTTGTGCACATAGGTATTTACTATGCAATTACATACATCATAAGTCATATGATCAAAAAATTCTAAATATATATTTATTTATAAATAACAGAAATAATAATACACTGCTAGTGTAATCAGTTATAATAAACATACATATGTGCAGCATGCCTATTTTAGAATAAAGTGCTGAAAATACACAAAAATCCTATTATGTCAGGCAGGGGTTATTTGTAGTTAAAGGTTCTTAAATCAGATATACAGGACAAACTCTGTGTAGCACTTACCAACAACTGTGACAATAACCTACAATAAAAAGGCAGGCAGCCATGTGAGCAGAAAATAAATAAATAAATGCAGGATGAAAGACTGGAGGGAGGAAGCTACCTTTCTCTGGCTAGCAGCGATGACTGTCGGAAGCCAGCGGCTCTCACGAGTGTCCATCAACAGGAAGACCACATCGTTTTCAGAGATAAGCTTCTCCAGCTGTTCCACATCCTGCCGGGCTTGAGCCATTGTCAGCTCGGAAAAGTTCACTGGGTGGCCTGGCATTGGGATGCTCATGTTGTAGCCCTCTGCAATCTGAAAGGAATGAATAATATATTTACAACAGATGACAAGACAAAACATTATGTTTAAAACAAAGTTAAATTCCTCTCAATGTTTGCACTCACAATCAATAAAATTGAAATTCGGTACATCCATATCTAACAGGTAACATGTCAGGCCGTTTACAGATTTCTGCATTTCAGAAGGTTTGAAAATAAGCAGTTGTGTATCATCTGCATAGCTCTAAAAGTTTATCCCATGCTTCCTGTTTACATTACCTAAGTTCACATACTGTATACTATATAAACTACCGAGGTCCTAAAACGGAGCCCTGTGGGACTCCACAAAAAATTTTAAATTTCTGTGGGGGAAAAACCCTATAAACAGTCTAACCAGCTTTGATTGTTCAAGTCAATGCATGAGAATCATGTTATGCATTGTATCAAAGGCTGCACTGATATCAAGCAAGACAAATTAAGTATGGTGTTTATTGTTCACATCACATGTTTTTGTACCATAAATCAGAATGAAAAAGTAAGTTTCTTAAGTAGATTATTATCAACCAGATATTAATTTAACCAAGCAAATTAGTCACTAGCCCACAGTTACTAGAAACCTATTTAAGTCAGTCAAATCTATGACTGAGATGAAAAGGATAAATCTCAATTTACTCCACGTAAAGGACAAACTGCTGCCACTCCAAGACTGTTGATAAACCAATGTCTGTGTTATCTGTAAACCCTGAATGAGCTCAAAGACACCTAATTCTCACAGTTCAAACAATATAGTAACAGACATCTAATGCTGACATTATGTTTTGTCTGTATAGCCAGAGGAGAACTGCCTGCAGTGTAGCCTAGTTTCACTCAAGATATTTTTCTCCTGTATTAAAATATTATTTTGTTCTTTGCCTGCAAACCAGAGGTGACTATGGCAAAGAACAAAATAATATGTTTCTTGCAATTCATAGTGATTCATTCAGTAAAGCGGTTTTAAACTATGTGTATGTAAAGAGTGCTATGCAGATAAACCTGACTTTTGTATTTAAACATTTCAGAAAAACTTGTATATCCCTTCTCAACATTGTTTTAATGACTTTAAAATATGAAGTGGTGTAACCATCAAGTAAAAAGTAATACAATATTTTCTTTAGAACTTTTTCTTCAAAACAAATGTATTTTTTAACTATTTAACAAAATATGACAAAAGTATATCAATGTCTGTTTGAATAACAAATGTATATGTTCGTGATATATTTTACTGATCAAGAAGCATTTTGACTTTAAGGGTGTTTAAGGGACACCTCTCTGTTATATGGATTTCCTGTCACGTGACAAAAAAAAGGCTTCCTGCATGTTGAGTTTGATGTTGCATGTTATTTTAAAACAAAACTGCTTCAATAGTGTTTATTCTTTTTAAGAAATATATTTTTTCACATATTTCAAATATATTTTAAGCTTTTAATAAGGCATTCTTGAGTCACTGCCTATTCCAGACAGTCATATCACCTTGAAATGTCGTCTTTACTTTGACTGGCAAATAGCGATGTAATGATTAACCGCGAGCCGGTTGAAAATCGATTCAAATATGTGACGATTCAAATCGGTTGAGATCCTAAACAAATCGCGATTCATTTAGGGGTAGGAGTTTATATGAATGTATGTCTGAGGGGAACTTACTGTCTTTTGCCTCTGTATAATGCATATCAGGCTCCAGACTCATTCTTTCCACTGGTCGCTCTTTTGCAACTAACTTTCTCAGCTGGTCGCACAAACGTTTACATTTTTTTTTTTTGCGCTACAACATGGGATCAAGTGCTATATTAGTATATTATTATAGTGTTATATTTCAATTTCACAAAGAAACGTGGAGCATTTTGTCTAAGCAATAATAAAAGGACACATTTAATTTATAATTTGTCTTAAATCTAATTTTGTTAAAAAAAATCGTGAATCGAATCGTGAGTTGAGTGAATCGTTACATCCCTACTGGCAAATCAGAAGGATTGCTTCATCAGAAACTGAATTTAACCTGACATAAAGTTTCAATATTCAGCTCAAGAAAGAGGGAAGAAACACACAAAAAGAAATGGGGGAAAAAATGAATGAAATAAATGTTTTACTACTTTAGATTTGAGAAAATGTTAATAGAGCTCTCAGATGAGCATCAAAGCTAAGAAAGTAGCACTGGCAACTTGACCACATCTATTGATCCAGCGTCTATTCAGCATGTTTGTGTCAACATTTGTTGCAACGGAAGACATGATGTCAGTTCTGCGAGGTGAGCAGTGAATCAGACATCATCTCATCCCACTATCTGAGAGAGAGAGTCGTAATTACTGCGTGGATATCCGGCCCGTCTAATTGGCCCGACACACGCAGGGGTTCTGTGAAGGTAAAACGTGTGGCGTAATTAGCCGAATGGGGGAGCAGATCGATACAGGATGAGCAGATGAATTAATGATGACCACAGAGTAAACACAGCAGACAGCTAATCTCATCCCGGCAGACAGACGGGCAGCTGTCAACACAGACATGATAGAAAAGCAAAGATTATTCAGCCAGGTGTGCTGAAACATCCCTTTATAAGACCTCCTCTCACACACACACACACACACACACACACACACACACACAGAGACTCACTCACACACACACACACACATTCACACACAGACACTCACACACTCACTCACACACTCACACACACACACACACACACAGTAACTCTCACACACACACACACACACGAGCATCCACAGCTCAGCTGATCAGATGGTGCGAGTCTTACATAACGATATCACTCTCGCTCTTGTTTTAGCACCTCCGTTCTTTGCACTCGGAAAAATAACATTTGGAGCAAATGAAGAAATTGGCAAGAACGAGACTTTTATAATGAGGCCCTTCTGAGGTGTGATCAGATAATAACTTGATCAACAAGAGTGTAATGTGATGATTTCTGCATTCATTTCAGCATTTAGACAGAAACTAAAGCTACAGTGACAAACACTGACCCATCAACCTGCCTTAGAAATAAAAACAAAGCTATGGTTATTTGTGACAACTAATCAATTGTCACAATACACTTTAGAGGAACGAGGAGACGCTGGAGAATACTTTCACAAGACTTTAATTCCATGAACACAGGAAGACGAACACAGGAAGACGTTTAACAGCGGACAGAGAACTAGGGACTGGGAGCAGACAGTTCAGGAGGCCATGGCAGAGCAGCCTCCGAGGCCGCGGCCCCAGCCCCCGCCTCGGCCTCTATGGCTGGAGCCTTACTACCCCCCCCACAAAAAATACTTGGGTAAATTTACGGGGCTGTACTCGGGGCCTGGAGCCCTCCCAGGGCTTAACGGGGGATCAGGGGCCCTCCCAGGCCTTAACGGGCGATCAGGAGCCCTCCCTGGGCTTACCGGGGAATCAGGAGCCCTCCCTGGGATGAACGGGGAAGCAGGAGCCCTTCCTGGGCTATACTCGGGAACAGAAGCCCTTCCTGGGCTTACCTGGGGAACAGGAGCCCTCCCTGGGCTTAGCTGGGGAACAGGAGCCCTTTAACTGGGGATCAGGAGCCCTTCCTGGGCTTAACTGGGGAACAGGAGCCCTTCCTGGGCTTATCTGGGGAACAGGAGCCCTCCGTGGGCTATACAAGGAATCGGGAGCCCCTCCTGGGCTTAACGGGGAATCGGGAGCCCTCCGTGGGCTATACTCGGGAACAGGGTAGCGCTTACGTGGTGCTGGCACTGGAGGGTGCTCTGGAGGAGCAGGCACAGCAAAGCGCCTTCGAGGAGCCGGGACTGGAGCGAGGTTTGGGGCTGGAGCCGAAACTGGAGCGAGCTCTGGGGCTGGAGCCGACACTGGAGCGAGCTCTGGG